TCTTTGCAGCAATAGTGTCTCTGCGGTCTTCTAAGCCCTTTCAAGCCCAGTGATTAATTTTCTGACTATTGTTCTAAATTCTTGTTCAGTTATGTTGCTTATATCTGTTTTGATCAATTCTTTAGCTGTCACTTCTTCCTGGAATTTCTTTTGAGGAGAGTTATTCTCTTTCATCATTTTGGCTAGATTTCTGTCTCTTGTAAGCTTTAAAGACTTGTTATATGATCTGCACCTGTGAGTACTGCTATATTAAAGGAGGTTCATACAGTGTCCAAGGCCTGGCCATTCAGGAAGTTTTTTTTTAAGGATGTCCCTTGGTCTTTCTTTTTGTGACTTTGGTTATTTTATTTCCCTACTCGTAGTGATATTTTGGACTCTCCACCATGTGTGCTTTGGTTTGTTCCTTGAAGTAGCCCTGGGAAGGAAAACAGACAGACAAACAGGGAACAAAAACACACAAACAAATCAAACAACACAAGCAAACCAACAAAAATTAAAAGAAAGAGAAAAAAAAGACAGTCTAAAAGCATAAAACCAGCTACAAATAAAGAGCAGAGTAGATGCAGTGCTGATGGAAGAGCATATGCAAAGAGAGAAATGATGGGTGGAGAGAAAGAGAAAATGAACATTGACCAGGCAGAGAGACTAAAAGGCTTAATGTAGAGATAGAAAAAGGAGAATACAGCAGGAGGCGAGGAGAAAGAAATGAAGATAATGCTACTAGAGAAACCATATAGTCTGATTATTCCAGAGAGAGAGAAAGGAAAGTAAAGAAGTAGCTGTAGAGCATGCATCAAGAGGATGGATTAAATATGTCTATTTAAGCCAACCTATAAGCAGAATAACCAGCCCAGAGGAGGGGAGAGATAAGAATGAGAAAAGAGAGAATATATCTGAATAGCAAGAAGTGACCTAGAGTTAATCATGGCAGTGCAGCAGCGCTGGTCTTGGGGGAGGGGTGGTATGTTTCTGCAGCATCAACAGGCTCCCAGCAGCTCCCAGCATAGATGGGGTGGTTTGGTGTGGGCCTGTCCTGCCTCCACTGTGGGTCCCTGGGCGCATTCCTGAAGCCCCACCTTGGTGGTTGTGGGGAGAAAAATGGCGACCCCCCCCCCTTCTCAAGCCAGGTGTCCCAAATCACTCCTTTGGATCTGTTCTCATTGGGCCGTAGGGGCAGCCAAGGTGGGCCAAGGTGTCCCAGGCCCAGCCGTATTCCAGGCTCTCCGTGTGCATTAATGATGCTGCCGAAATGTAGTCCTGTGAGCCGGGCACTTCAGAGCAGGGCATCGGTTCCTCCTGATGCTAACTGCGCCCCTGGGGTACCACCTAACTCAGAGGGAACTTCTTTTGTCCCACGGCACACAGGATGGGATAGGATCCCTCTCTGTCCTGGGCTGAGGTTTTTCTCTTGTCCAGATACAGTCCTATGTTTCCCCAGCCGTTCTGTCTCTTCCCTTTGCCTCTCCGCAGAAGGGGATCCCTCCCCTCAGGCCTCCGTATCCCACCCGTTTTTACCTCCTCCAGTTCGCAATCATGCACCTATGAGACCATCTTCCTAGTTAGTAGACTCTTGTCTCCTTTCCTCCCAGACTCTTGAAGTTCAGAATCCTTTAGCTTCAGCCCTTCTTTGTTTGAGAGATGTGGATGGGAAGTACAGTTCCCCTTCTTCTCTGCCATCTTCTCATTTTCCTTAATGTTTATTTTTGAGAGAGACAGAGACAGAGACAGAACACATGTGGGGTAGGGGCAGAGAGAGCGGAGACAGAATCAGAACCAGGCTCAAGGCACCGAGCTGGAAGCTGGGCTCGTACTCGCTGACCATGAGATCATGACCTGAGCTGAAGTTGGACGCCTAACCAACTGAGCCACCCAGGCGCCCCAGGAAAGGACAGCTTTTTAATTCCAAGGGATTTCTTAATTTCTAAAAACCTTTTTTTAAAGTTTATTTGTTTTGAGAGAAAGAGCACAAGTCGGGCAGAGAGTGAGAGGGAGAGAATCCCAAGCAGGCTCTGTGCCCTCAGCACATGGGGCTCTGTCTCGCCGTGAGATCATGACCTGTTCCAAAATCAAGAGTCAGATGCTTAACTGTGCCACCTTAAAAAACTGTGCCCCTTAAAAACTGTGCCCCTTAAAAAAACTGCTAAGGGAAGAAAATATTCTTTACTTGTTGAAGAAACTTCTATTTAAAGGTAGCCTATCATCCTAATTTTTTTTAATGAATTAGGGTACAATGCTGTTTTAACAATGTGGCTTTTATGTAAGATCATATCACTAGACACATCTCAGATTGAAATGTTTAATATTATATTTGGTACAATAAATGCATGTGGATGGAATTATGTAGTGACTTCTAGATGATTGGAGATTCTTCTCTGTTTTCTTGACAAGAAAAAGAACTAATGAACTAAAGAGAATGACCAACTTATAAAATATTTCCTATGTTTATGCCTGTATATTTACATAGGTTGTTTAAATATTTCATCATTAGAGGGTAATATTCTCCATGTTTGTTAAGATCTTCCATATTCACAATGTCTTTGTAGGTTTTTGCCATTTCTTTTAAAGAAAATACATTTTAAAGTTTACTTCAAGTCTTAACTTTTAAATGAATGATTACCCTCCTCTCTTTCTGGTTTAGAGCTACTTGTCTTTATTTTACTTAAGCACTATAGGATTTGCCACATAAAGATGTTTCCCTGGAAGAATTTTGTTTAGGCTCAGGGCTGACATGAAAAGAAACAATTTATCAGACTAGTGTATCTTGCTAACAATTCAAATAACCTTTCTTATCCTTTACACTCCATATTAATAAAACTATTAATGATAAAATACCTCCTTTACACCCTACAGGTTGGAGAGATGATTGGGGGAGAGATCATTTTCTTGCTTTGGGCCCTCTTAAACACAGCTGCTAGCTGAATGTGGCTTATCAGTTGCACGGTTATTGGCATTATGGTTCTGAAGTAACTGGTACTTAATGCAGCCAGATTGATTGGTGCCTCATTTTTATAATTATCTGGGAAGTACTTTTGCCATGTAAATATTTCAAAGTGAAAAGCAGTTAAATCTAGAAGATACTTCTGTGTAAACATACTTTGTTGGATGATAACTAACTCTTCAAAAATGGGCTTACTTAGATCATACAACTGAAGACTGTTACCTGTAGTTGACATTTTTCTCCCCTCCTTAAAACCACAATTTTGAGAGCTCCTTACAGTAGAGCATACCATGCCTTGTACATTTGTACCCTCGGTATCTAGTAGATGCATCATAAATGACTGTCAAGTTATTTAACGATTTGACTTTGATAATGACCAACTTTGTTGCTTGATGATAATATTTTTGCTTCACCTTCTTGAATTTTTCTTCAACACACCCTAAAGTCTTGTATCAGTATAACTGGATTTCTTCAATGCAAAACAGGCTCAAATGGAGTTACTTATGCTAAGCCCCATGCTACCAAACTAAGACTTAATTATAGTTTTGGCTCTCCCAGAAAAGGAATTTTAAACCAGTCAACCAAGAAATGCCTGATCAGCACTAGTTAGGTAATATGCCTAATAGACCTCTGCCATCCCCAAAAGAAAAGTGACTTTCAGTAACCAACCCACTTTTTTTGGGGGGGGGGGAGGGCCTAGTAAAACTTACTTGTTCCCACTCCTTTCCTTTCCTTTCTTTTCTTTTTGAGCTTTATTTATTTTTGAGAGAGACAGAGAGTGTGATCAGGGGAGGAGCAGAGACGGAGAGTCTCAAGCAGGCCCCACATTGTCAGCACAGAACCCACTGTGGGGCTCCATCTCAAAAACCAAGAGATCACTCAACTGATTGAACTACCCAGGCACCCCTCCAGTTAATTTTTAAGGTGTTAAAAATGATGAAATTAGTTATACAAGTCAAACATTCAGAGATTTTAACTTATGTAGCTTACTTTTAGTAGAGTATAATTTATTGGTTGCTAGCAGAAATAGTAGTCCACTGTTGGCTACCTGATTTTGGTAACTTGAAAATAAGGCTAATGCTATTTGGCTTTTTCTAAGAAAATAATGAATGTATCCTGGTCTTGTTTGCATATCAGCATCAACATGGCTCTTTATAACCTTCAGAAATTGAATTATTGGTGAAGTAAAAATTTTTTGAGTTGTAACTGTAGTAGCTACTACAGTGTGTGTGAAATGGATGGGTAGAGGAGTATCAGTGTCTTATCAGGACCCCTGACATTAGTTGTCACTCAATAGCCATGGTTCAGTGAATGGATCTCCTTAAACACAGGGTGCATTAAAGATGGAACCTAGAAATAAAATACACCAAGTGTCCTACTTTTTAAACTAAGTGAACAGTTGCTAGTTTAGTTTGAAGTTGAATCCTTTGTTTGTTTTGCAGATGGAAAGCTAATGTTTTCTTTGATAAACTTGAACTTTGGTTTAATGTTTTGGAAGCAGAAAATTCTTACTCTCTTTTAATAGCCTCCCCCTTAACACATTGTTATCACCAGTATGTGAGATGAGGCAAGAAAAGCTTCTGGTTCACAACTTCAAAGTCTTGCTTGAATTCTTATCTTTATCATTTTGTTTTATCTTAGAAACATGGTAGGGATAGAGTCCACAAACTTAGCTTTAGTTTGTATTCTTTCAAAATTGGTAATAAGCCAGTACATTTTTTCTTGCTGTACTGTAAAGTTCTTGAAATATTAATTTTAAAGAATGAGTAAATTCTTAATTTCTTGTTTAGAAACAATTGCTTTTGTGTTTTTGGAAGTATAGGAAGTCTTATTTGACCAGTTTCTATGCTTAAGAAGTTAGTACTTCTGTTTCATTGATCTAGTGAAGGGTTAAAATAATAATAAAGATAATAAAAAATTGAAACCAATTGATGGATGATTTTGTAAATAATAAGTGGAACCAACTTTATTCATAAATTTTCTTTTTCTTTATTATTAGACTTTCTGCAATATTTGCCTTTTGTAGAAACATTTATTAATTTCACATTTTTAAAATTTCCAGGTAACTTGGGTTTTTACTCCTGTAACAACTGAAATAACAAGTCTTGATACAGAAAATATAGATGACATTTTAAGTAAGTACCTTAATATTTTTAAAGTACACTTTTCTTCTTTATAAAGAGTTTATATACAAAAACAAAGTTAAATCCCAATTACTAGAACAGTTTGAGGAGCTGGCGTTCTGATTAATTCCATGGTTTACTGAAATAACAAGCACTTTTGGTTTTGATTTTTAGTGAAATTTCTTAAAATGTATATGATGTCTTATTTATGTGTTACAAATAAACTTTAATCTCGTTTTATTTCTTTGTGTTGTCATAAATACCACTCTTAACAATTCGTGCAGCAGTTTGCTAGAACCTACTTAGATTAGAGGCCAGGAGTCTCCTGTGCAGTACTACATGTTCCTGATCTTAGGACACAGTCTAGAAATCTTTCATCTTTCTTTAACTTCTGATTAATTCACTGACTCTGATCTCTTTTATTGTCATTGGTCCAATTAAGTTAAGTGTTTTACTGACTACCTTGTTAGCTGACAGTGTGATTACGGATACAATTAACTTGCAAGGAAAACATTTATGTTTTTAAAAGTAGTAGAGGGAAGGTGAACACACGATTGATGGAAAATCATAATTTAGGAGATTTAAGAAAATATACAATGCATAAATGATTTCTTTCTTCTCTTTTAAAGCACTCCATTTCATCCACTGGTTTAAGCAGAATAAAACCAAAAGTAATAAAAGTAAATAGAGTTATTTTTGAGCCTCATATGCTGTTTTGGGTTCTTGGAACTGGTTTTAAACGCTAAAAAGTCCCTTCCTACATTATGGGATCTCTTTAAAGCAATGGTTCAGTAACCTTTAGCATGCTTGAGTCACCTGGAGGACTTATTAATATCTGTTCTGCTAGGCCTGGCTCCAAGTTTCTGATAGAAACTGCTAGACCCCACCTGAGAATTTGCATTTCTGTAAGTTTCTACATGCTGCTGGTGCTTCTGGTCCAGGGAGGGCAGTTTGTGAACCACTGCTTTCGGGTGAAGAAGCAAGTGGATAAAAAGTGCTTTGAAGGTAAAAAAAGGAAGAAGAGAATTGAAACTTACAAATCATTCTCCTTTCGTTTTTCAAATTCTAGAGTAACTTTTATTTTTGTGCTTGAATTTATCTAAGTTTCTCTATTTAGTGTTCTGTCTCCACATCTTCATATGCAAATGATACGAAGTTATTTTGGCAGCAGAGAAGAGCTGTTAAATGGGTAGGAACTAGAAAATGTACATGTTATGCAACTGTATTAGTTGTAGATTACTTGTTGCAACTAGGTGAGACATCTGAGCTTTAGAAATAGTTTAGTTATACAGGTCTCTTCTGTGAAATAGAATTTTCTTGCAGAGCCAGTTCTCAGCTTATTCATGTATAGGGGAGATCAAAAAATGGATTATCAAAGTCCAGGTCATTCCACTTCATTTTTTTTTAATGTTTATTTTTGAGAGCGAGAGAGAGAGCATGAGCAAGTGAAGGACAGAAAGACAGGGAGACACAGAATCCGAAGCAGGCTCCAGGCTCCTAGCTGTCAGCACAGAGCCTGACATGGGGTTCAAACCCCGAATCATGAGATCATGACCTGAGCCAAAGTCGCTTAACTGACTGAGCCACCCAGATGCCCCTCCACTTCATTTTTAATGAGAGTAGGCTATTTAGTGGTTTACGTGCCTGATCTTGGTTTGATTCTCCTTTTGCTTTATATTCATTTGATGAAGGTATAAAAATGGAGGATATAGAGAAAAGGATTAGGGATTCCCACAAATTATATAACCTGTCCATGACTCTGTGTATGGGTTTCTTAATTGTTAATTGTGTATTTTTAGTGGGCCTTTACATAAATGGAAAAAAGACCATGAGGAAAACCAAATCTTGGATTATGTCAGTTACAAAGACATAATTAACTTAGGTTGTTTGGTTTTGTTTTTCAATTTCAGACAATGCTGATGTTGCTTTAGTAAATTTTTATGCTGACTGGTAAGTAAGAATCTTATTTTTGTTTTTTTGTGGTGGGAGGGGTGACAAAGTTGCATCATTGAGTTTTTTCTTTTTTTAATAGTTTATTGTCAAGTTGGTCTCCATATAACACCCAGTGCTCATCCCATGCCCATTCTTTTATCTTTAGTGTATTTTTCTTTGCTAGAAAGGAGTGAATGGAGAAGCCTTTTTCATATATGAGACAGTATTGCATACACAAAGTCAATTAAGGTTCACTCACAAAGAGAACAGCTTAATTTGGTGATCGTTTGTATTTTAAGAGAAAAATATATCTGGTTCCATTATCCCACATATTAAAAGCAGTAACAGAAACTCATATCCCTCCCTCCTTTCTCTCTCTCTCTCTCTCTCTCTCTCTCTCTCACACACACACACACACACACACACACACACAGAAATATGTACTGCAATTCTGTATTTTTCCTGACTGACAAAGTAGGGTGGTGTTTGGAGGTGAGGGTGTGGGTGTTGCAAGTTTAGAAGGAAGAATCATGTTGACACTTTTTAAACATGTATCATCTACTACTTCTAGGAAGCCACTACTCCTTCCCCTGTCTAAATCAGATTCTTGTCTTTTATGTTTCTATAGTACCAGATACCACTTTCTTTTGTTACTATATTATTTTGTCTTTTATATTTGTGCCCCAGCAAAGAAACATTGAGGATGGAGATAATGTCTTACTCAGCATTCAGGGCATTTAAAACCAGGGCATACTATGTAGTAGATGTTAAAGAATGTGACAAGATGTTAACGAATGTGTCAAGTAGGAGCTTGAGCTGGAGAGGGTTAAAACACTCACATAATCCTTATTCCTAGACCATCTGTATTTTACTTGACCCTTTTAGGTTTATTACTGCCTACTTGTTGCCACTACCCTCCTTCAGGCCACAGTCCAGTTTACCCAGATTCCTGTGACAGCCTCCTACTTTGTTTTCTGTGCCTCAAGTCCTATGTGTGTCCATTCTGTTCTCTAAAAAGTAAGCCAGAGTGGTCTTTCCTAACATACACACTGAACAAGGTTACACTTCATCTTAAAACCCTTAAATGATGTTCCATTAACTCTAGGTCTAAAGTCCTTTACCTTGACCTAGAAAGCCTTCAGTGACCTGCTCCCTTCCTACCTCTACATCTGTATTTCTTGCCTCTCTCCACTCCCACATTCTGTACCCATTATACTGAATGTCTTTCAGTTTCTGTAATATTCTATAATCACTGGACCTTCAGTCATGGGATTTTTTTTCTGCCTAGATGGGTCACGCTTCTCTCACTCATTTAATTTAAGTCTTAATCATCTTTCGAGTCTTAGATTAGATGCCACTTTCTCCAGGTCACCTTCCTAGATCAATATTCCTACCCTTCTTTCAACCATTGTTTATGTCTTCCCATAACACCACATGCTGATTTCATTGTAACACCTGTATGCTGTAGTTTATTTGGTGGCCACCTACTACAGACTTAGCTTTAAGGTACTGTATCTGCCTTTTCTCAATATTAGTCCCTAGGCACTCTGCATAATACTTGGCCGATAAGTACATAATAGATATTTACTGAGTGAATGACTTACAGTGTAGGTATTTAAAGAACGTCAATAAAATGTTGAAGATATACAGAGGAAAATGCCATTTATAAAATGTATAACCAAGGTAGCATTTTCCAAGGTAAATTAGAATTGTTCACATGTAGCAATAGCCATAACATTTGGTATAAGATTATCTAGTCCAATCCACTTTAGCAATAAAACTGAGACCCAGAGGAGCAAAGCGTCTTCCCAGGGTTACCTGACAGAGTTGTGACAGAGTTAAAACTAGAACGCGGTTCTCTTGATTGAGGTATTTTGTGTGTTGTAAGAAAGGGAAATAGAACGTGCACTGACCTCGTCCCAGAAACTGAACTGGAAATGTGGGCTAATTGCAGTTATTTGGGAGAACATATTACCCAAAAAACACCTTGAGTTGCTCATGAGTTAGTACTCTTTTTTAAAAAAAATTGTTTTTAATATTTATTATTTATTTTTGAGAGACAGAGAGAGCATGAGCAGGGGAGGGGCAGAGAGCGAGGGAGACAGAATCCGAAGCAGGTTCCAGGCTCCAAGCTATCAGCACAGAGCCTGATGCAGAGCTTGAACCCACGAACCCTGAGATCATGACCTGAGCCAAAGTCGGCCACTCAGCCGACTGAGCTACCCAGGCGCCCCTAGTACTCTTTATTCAATTGAAAAAAACCTTAGGCAGTTGACCATAGGACATAGATTTATACTCTCTAGCCTTGCAGGCTCCATTCTGTGTTCTGTCTGGAAGTTATTAATGGGGGCACAGTTTAAGGAAGAATTTTCTACTAGAGCTGCCTAAAAATATGGATATGCTTGGAGAGTAATGAACCATAGTAGGTACCCTAATAAAGCTGTCATGTGGCAGCCTCTTTATATACATTGTTTTTAATGCTAAGAACTACCCTGCAGTAGGTATTATAATTTCCATTTTAGGTTGAGGAAATTTAAGGCTTAGAAAGGTCATACAGCTAGTAAGTGGTGGAACTGGGATTTAACTCAGGCATATCTGACTCCAAAGCTTATTTTTCCCCCTCCTAGGCCATACTAGTAAGTATGCCCAAATTGTCCCTACAAGGACTCTTAACCCATTTGGTTTATTTGTAAAGGGTTGATTCAAGCACTAGATTGGAGATTGGATTCAGATGACCCTTAAGACCTTTGTAATAGATCTATTGCTTTTGTTGTGTTACTTTTATAAATGTAACTTTCCATACGAATGGATACATGTGGATGAAGGTTTAGTATTGTTGCTATTGACTTTTTATTTCATCCTTCCCTTTCACCTTCTGGTATTAAAATTGATCCTGTTTTAAGCATGAACCTATGCTTAACTGCTTACTGGGCAGGAAACTGGACAATCCGGAAAGAAGGAGCCCCTAAGTATGTCTTTACCTTGTCCTTAAGCCAGGAGCATGTCTAGTAATTCTTTACCAGGCCATATCCTAATTCTCCAAGAAACCATTCATCATTCCCTACCCTTTGCCTCCCCTGCCCTTCAGCATCCTATTTTCAGCAAGCTATAAGAAACTACAAACTTGTGGACCTAGCCTTTTCAGTTCTTCCAGTCTATCAATTTAATCATTTAACAGACATATCGAAATGCTTACTAGAATACATAGTCAAATAAGATACAGTACCTGATGTCCACACACACCCCCCACCCACCTATCCCAGATGGGAGAGATTTAAGAATGCTAAAAGAGGAAAGAGCCACTTGAAACCAAGAGATTAAAGATACAGATTATGTCTCCTTGATATATTCTAGGACATTTTAGGAAGTCAGGTGAATGGGCCAGAGGAGGTATCTACATAAAGAAATAGGGAGGAATATATGAGTTTCCTCTTATAGGCTTTACTAGACTTGTGTTGAATTAGAATTAATATGTATGAACTAATCACGTGGATTAAAGAGTTCACAGACTTCATTTAAGTATATATCTTAGTGGAAAATGGCTCTGAAAGCAATAGTAGTGGCTAAATTATAGTTTTGTTTGTTAAAAAATACTTAATCCCTTTTTCATTCAAGAATAACATTTCTAATCCATCTGGCTGTGTGCTCGTTTTGATTCTTGTTCTCTTTCTTATCAGGTCCCTTTAATAACCTATAACATGTTTGTGAAGGAGTTGGCCTGATTAAGGGACAGTCAGAATTAGAAGTATCGAGTTTCTGGAATACTCTCGTGTTTGTGCCCCTTTTTAAAAGTTAAAACAAAACAAATGACAAAGGAAACACAAGTAGGAAATCTTGTTTAGAAATTTAACATTTTTGCCCCTGGACTTAATATTATTTGTTTATAGATCTGAAAGCCTATTTTAACCAGAGGTTAATTTGAGGGCACAGAGTTCAAAATATAGTATATATATCCTTTTCAGGCCACTTGTTTATCTGGTATGCAAACTTGCATATGAGATTGACTGACATAGTCAAGTGAATCAGTGTGGTTATTTGCAATAAACTTACCATCTTAAGGCTTTTGTGTAGTAGTCTAAAAATATGTTCATTATGTAGAGAAAGCTAATTTCTTTTCTAAATGCCCAAGTCTTACTAGTTATACGTCCAAGTAGATACATCTTAGAGGGCTTACTTCAGACTCGTTTCTTGATTTCTGTGAGAGATCCTTAGCTGTGTGCTTCCTGATAGTGGCCATTTTCTTAAGGTGCAAAAATCCAAAATCCTTTATTGTAGTCTTTAAATTGGGATAGGCTTTGAATTCAAAATTGTCTTCGTTTTTAATGAATGACATTCAGGTCCATGGCAAAATTATGTGATCATCTCAAAAGCTGTTTATTGTACATATGTTAAATAGCAATGGATGATAACTGAAATAAGATGTTATTGCTTCTGCTTTTCAGTTTTAATTGGTATCCTTCTTTGTGCATAGGTGTCGTTTCAGCCAAATGTTGCATCCGATTTTTGAGGAAGCTTCTAATGTTATTAAAGAAGAATATCCAAATGAAAATCAAGTAGTGTTTGCCAGAGTTGATTGTGATCAGCACTGTAAGTACCTTAATAGAAAGTCTGGAACAAACGGTCCCATCCCTGTGTCTGCACATGCACACACACTTTTTTCTTTTTTAATGCTCAAAAAGAGTTCTGCTTTAGATGGAAGGTTCTAGTGACTTTGGTTAAATGTTAATATTTAACCTTTATGTAAGTACAATACTAGTTTGTTTTTTTTGCCTGCAAAGTAATTAATTTTTTAATTAAAATATAGTAAACTAAGCATATAGGTAGTAAATCATAACCAGCAATGTTTTCTGCCAAAGTGAAGACCAAAATAATAAATAAATAAAATTGAAATAAAGTTTTAGGGAAAAAATGGATTTTGGTTAGTTTTAGAATCATGCAAAAATACCATGTGTAGTCATTGCAGGTAAAGCTATCTCAGATTTTTGTGTGTTTTCGTTATTTAAAAGATTCCACTAAAATCGGCTGAGATGGTGTGCGAGGTGTAATTAGTGGTAGTTACAGATTGTAATTCTTGAGAGTGTAGAGGAACTTAGGTTAGACTCACTTACAGTCTAGCCTCTTGCGTTTCACTTCTCCCGGCAGAGCATTCTCTGTAAAATCCCCATGGTTTTCTTTGTCTGTGACGGATCTCACAGTGAGCCTGCAATGGTGCTTCGTCCCGACTGTGTCCAGCATGTGTGATGTTTTCCTCTCTCATCGTACTAGACTCACTGTGTTTGTAGTTCTGGTTCATTCTGTCATAGTTGTCTCAACCATTGCAGTGTCAGTTCTTCAAAGGCAAAAAGTTTTTCTTTTCATGCTTTTTTAAAATATTTATTATTTATTTTTGAGAGGGAGAGAGAAAGTGAGTGTGCAAGCAGGGGAGGGGCAGAGAGAGGGAGACACAGAATCCCAAGCAGGCTCCAGGCTCTAAGCGGTCAGCACAGAGCCCAACACAGGGCTCAAACCCATGAGCCATGAGATCATGACCTGAGCCGAAGTTGGACACTTAACTGACTGAGCCACCCAGGTGCCCCTCATTCATTTTTATCATTGAGTGGCATTCTGTCGTATGGCTCTGTAGTACAATTAGTTTATTCACCTATTCACAGATGGTTGGGTTGTTTCTAGTTTGGAGCTATTACAAATAAAGCTGCTATGAACATTTAGGTATAACTCTTTGTACGTATACTTTCTTTTTTTCTAGGCAAATACTTAGCTGTGAAATACTTAGGTCATAGGTTAGTGTTTATCTAACTTTTTACTAAACTGCCAAACTGTTTTCCAAAGTATTTGCATTATTTTACGTATTTGCTAGCAGCATAGAAGCATTCCAGTTGTTCCACATTCTTGCCAACACTTGTTATGGTCGGTCTATTTAATGTAACATGGATGTTAACTTGTGAATGGGTTGTAATAATTTCTTACTGCATTTTGAGAGCGCTTTCTAGTTTATGAATGTAAGTTCATTTTCAAATGTATAATTTGCAAATATTTTCTTTCATCCCACTCTCTTAAGAGTGCCTTTCTTTTTATGTGGCAAAATACACAAAACATAAAATTTGCCATCTTTACCACTTTTAATTGTACAGTTTAGTAGCTTTAAGCATATTCACATTGTTGTACAACCAGTCTCCAGAACTTAATCTTATGAAACTGAAACATTACCCTCATTAAACAACTCCCCCTGGCCCCAGTCCCTAGCATGTCCCATGTTACTTTTTTGTTTCTATGAATTTGACTACTCTAGATATCTCACATAAGCAGAATCATACAGTATTTGTTTTTGTGACTGCCTTATTTTACTTCACATAATGGCCTCAGGGTTCATCCCTGTTTCATCCATGTAGCACATGTCAGAATTTCCTTCTGTTTAAGGCTGAATAATATTCTGTTGAATGCATACACCACATTTTGTTTATCCATCCATCTATTGATGTATGCTTGGGTTACTTCCACCTCTTGGCCGTTGCGAATAATGCTATGAAATATGTCTTCGAGGCTCGGCTTACAGTTCTTGGAGATATATACCCAGAAGTGGAATTCTTGGACCAGGTAGTAATTGAATTTACTTTTTCAGAAACCACCATACTGTTTTCTATGGTGGCTGCACCAATTTTACATTCCCACCAGCAGTGGACAGGGTTTCCCATTTCTCCACATCCTTGCCAACACTTGTTATTTTCTGTTTTTGTGAGAATAGCTGTCCTAAAGGGTGTGAGGTGCTGCTTCATCCTGGATTCCATTTGCATTTCCCCAATCAGTAATGTTGAGCCTCTTCTCACATGCTTGTTGGCCGTTTATATGTCATCTTTGGAGAAATACCCCTTTGAGTCCTTTGCTCAGTTCTTAATCAGGTTATTTGTGGTTATTAAATTATAGGAGTTCTTTATGTATTCTGGGTATTAGCCCCTTATCAGATAAATGATTTTGCAGATATTTTATCCTATTTTGTAGGTTGCCTTTTCACTCTGATTATGTCCTTTACATGGAAATTTTAAATTTTGATGTCCAGTTTATCTGTGTTTACATTTGTTGCTTCTGCTTTTGGGGCAAAAGCCAAGAAATCATTGCAAACTCAGTGTTCTGGAACTCTTCTACATTTTCTTCTGAGAGTATTATAGTGTAGGTTGTGTGGTTAGGCCTTTATCTGTTTTGAGTTAATTTTTGTACAGAGTGCAATGCAGGGATCCGTTTCATTTTTTGTGTGGACATCCAGTTTTCCTAACACCATTTGTTGATGACACTGTCCTTTTCCTGTTGATTGATGTTGGTGCCCTTCATCAAAAAAAATTTGACCGTATGTGTGAGAGTTTGTTTCTGGACTCCAGTACCACACTTTTTTGATGACTGTAGCTTTATAATAAGTTTTGAAATTAGGAAGTATGAGACCTCCAATTCTATTTGAGAGTATCTTTTGAAGGGTATATATTCTTTTTTTTTTTTTTAAGTTTATTTATTTTGAGAGGCAGAGAGAGCACAAGTGGGAAGGAACAGAGAGGAAGAGAGAGAGAATCCCAAGTAGCCTCTGTGATGTCTGTGCAGAGCCTGATGTGGGGCTTGAACCCACGAACTGTGAGATCATGATCTGAGCTGAAATCAAAAGTTGGATGCTTAACTGACTGAGCCCCCCAGGCACCCCTGAAGGGTATGTATTCTTTATTTGATGAACTCCAATTTATCCATTTTGGATTATACTTTTGAAGCTGTGTATTTTTTTTAATTTTTTTTTAATGTTTTATTTATTTCTGTGAGAGGGAGAGAGAGCAGGGGAAAGTCAGAGAGAGAGGGAGACACAGAATCTGAAGTAGGCTCCAGGCTCTGAGCTAGCTGTCAGCACAGAGCCTGACGTGGGGCTCGAACCCAAGAACTGTGAGATCATGACCTGAGCCGAAGTCTGATGCTTAACCGACTGAGCCACCCAGGCGCCCGGTTTTGAAACTGTATCTAAGAAGCCTTTGTCTCACCCAAGATAACAAAGATTTTCTGGTATGTTTTCTTTCATAAATTTCATAGCATGAAGTTTTACACTTAGCTCTATGATCCACAGATCATGCATTAACATTTAGCTCTGTGATCCAAATTTGGAGTTAATTTTTACATGTGGCACAATGCATAGATTGGAGTTCATTTTTTTGCATATAGTTATCAAGCTGTCGTGATATTATTTGATGAAAGGACTATCCTTTTTTCATTGACTTTGCATCTTTGTCAAAATCAACTGACGATATATGAATGGATCTGTTTTTCACATGTCAGTTCTGTACTGTAGATGTGTTTGTCTGTGATTTGTCTATGCTTACACCAGTACCACACTTTATGGATTATTGTACTTTTATAATAAGTCTTGAAGTCAATAGTGTATAAATCTTCCAACTTTGTACTTTTTTTTCAAAGTGGTTTTACTATTTTAGTTGCTTTGAATTTCTTATGACTTTTAAAATCAGCTTGTTGATTTCTAACCAGTGAGAGGGAAAAATTGCCAAGATAATACAGAGAGTTCCTTTATAGCCCTTCCCCAGTTTACCCTAATGTGGACACAGTACATTATGATGGTACATTTGTCAAAAGTAAGATACTAACCCACTGGTATATTACTTACCATCAGCTAAACTATAGACTTTTTTCAGATTTTATCAGTTGTTTTACTCATGTCCTTTTTCTGTTCCAAGATCAAGCATATTGCATTTAGACATCAGGTCTTCTTGACAGTTGATAATTTTGAGGAGCATTGGTTAGCTATTTTGTGAAATGTCCTGCATTTGAGTTTGTCTGGTATTGTTTCTTAGGTCTCACACATATTTATTTTTTGGTACTATTATAAATGGCATTGATTTTTAAATTTTAATTTCTGGTTGTTGCTAAAAATACAACCGATTTTTGTATATTGATTGTATACTAGTACTTAATATTTCTAATAGGTTTTATGTGGATACAATAGGATTTTCTACTTAGACAATTATTGTATGTGAATAAAAGCAGTTTTGCTTTTTGTGGTCTGTATATCCTTGCAGTATTCTTTCTAGCCAAATGTACCTACTTGCTGCTTCAAGATTAATTTCTGTGAGGTAGAAGATCTGTATAAAGCTTTTTTAGCAAAGGCAGAAGGTGACCTCAGAATGAGGCTATCACCCCGCCCACATATGTCTCATTCTTATTAATCACCTTCTGGCGTCGTGGCAGCCTACTCTGTCCTGCCCCCTGATACTCTAGTCTGTCTGCCTTGCTTCTGGTGCACTGTGTCACCCAGACTTTCCAGCCGAAGTAAGAGTGTTATTTCTTGGAAAAGTTCCTGTAAAAACTTCCTAGTCAAATTGCCGGAAAAAAAAAAAACAGTTTATGTAGCGTCTATTGGATTTAGGCGTGCTTTTCCATGCGTTATTCCGGTTCTCTTCCCCACAGCCCCTTGAGTCAGATAGTGTTATGTTTTCATCCAAAGAAATGTTTATATACAGACCCTTTGCCATGCAATGTGCATAAGTCCTAGAGATACAGCATTGAACCACATCTACCCAGAAAGCAAGAGTAGCAAATACACAATTGCTCAT